GCAAGGCACTTTCCCTGCCCAAGGGGAAAGATAATCACCTCTCTGGGCAAAACTGCGCTTCTCCCCACTCCTACCACAGGACAACCTGTATCATCTCCTCTAGTGAGAACAATTCTTGAATCTCTCCTTTCCTGTGGCAAGAAGATGCCTGACACCTCAGCCCTCTGCTTTCACCCCATTCACATAAGAAACAAGTCCTCATGGAACTGAGAGCAAATCCTGATACAATCCCATCATGATAAATAATTTTTCCCTAGGTAGTGTGGAAGATGCCTCCAAAACTCCTTCTTCCTGCAGCTAATCTGGTAGACGCAGGATGTTTCGTTCTCAGCATTTGCAAAGATGGAAGCAGCCCCTTAGCTTTACACAACGGTGCCACTGATTCTGTTGGAACCATTCATGGTATATTTAGGCATGTGCTGAAGTGTTTGCAGGGCTGGAGTGAAAGTTACATGTGTGCCTTTTGAAATAATGCAGTTTTAGTCCCAGGATTCAGCGAAAGATGAACTTTTTAGCCACACAGTTCTTCGGTTCTGCTTGTCTCTCGGCAGAAGTTGGTCCAATACAAGATACCTCATCCATCCTGCCTTTTGAAATGCGGTCTGGGTAGTTTTGTTTCCCTCTGGGTCTAGGTTTGGGATTTGTGGTGATGGTTTGTACAGCCCTACTTGATGCTGTTAAACCAATAGAGCTTTCCCATGTAATAAGGCTTTGCTCTTGTATAGCATTTTTCATCAGCAGATTTCAAAATGCTTTACAGGAAGGGAAACTGAGGTATGGGGAAGTGAATGACTTGTCCAGGGTCACCCAGAAGGCCAGTGGTTTGAGCCAGGAATAGCAAATAAGTCTTCTGAGTCCTCATCCAGGGCTCGAACCAGCAGGCAAGATACGTACAGGGATGCTGTAATTATCCAAACTTGGTAATGGGCATTACAGATACAGGAAATTCAGCATTATGGTTATTTAAAAGAAAATTAAACATGAAATGTACATGTAAGGCACCTAAACCACCTTAACTCTGCCCCACACCGACACCATGCAATAATCATATTTATAAATAAGGTCTGTTAGTATTGTGGTCCCCTAATAAGATTAAATTGATTTTAATGGCACATTTGTATTATGCTCCCCTCCATGGGCTCACTGGAGAGCAGAGTTAAACCTGGCTGAAGCAGGGGTGGGTGCTAGGTTAGTGAGGTTACATGATAGAAAGCACAGAGTATTGGCTTGAGACTCTGGGGACCTCCTGTATCATGTTTTTGGCTCGGCCATTGGGGGAATCACTTCACCTTTTAGTGCCTCTATTTCCCCCTCTATAAAATAGCCACAACGATCATGACCTCCTCTGTAAAACATTTTGAGGAAGAAAAGCTCTTGTATACCAAAAGGCCACAGTGTTAGTTGTTGGTACTATAGTAAAGAGTGAGTATTCAAGAGTGATGGGCCAGAAATTAATGCCTAGTTTTGGCGGTTGGCTTGGCAGTATTGAGTACGGGGTCAATTACCCAGGAAAGACAGGCAGAGGTAGGTGGCAGAGAGTAGTTACCACCAAGCATGGCTACAGATTGACCCAGCACTGGGGTATGGGCAGCAATTGCTGGCCCCTCAGCATGGGTGACCAGATAGCAAGTGTGAAAAACTGGGATGGTGGAGAGGGTGTAATAGGCACTTGTGTAAGAAAAAGTCCCAAATATCTGGACTGTCCCTATAAAATTGGGACATTTGGTCACTTTACCCCCTGCCTGCTCCATAGTGATATCTCTGCAGTATTGAGCCAGTCTCAGATTTCAGGTACCTAGCAGGCTGAGAGGTGGCTTTGAAAAAACAAAAAAAATCTAATCAGTCAGTAGCTGTGGGCAGCTCATCCTTCTCTGGGTGTGCTGAGTTTGACCATGTGCTCTCCAGTGCTCCTGATGGGGAACTAAGAGTCAAATCGTATGTGTGTGCCTTAAGGTCAAACAGCAGAAAATACTCTAGCCTGGTCCTTAGTGCATGCTTGCTCCCACCCTCTCCCAGGGCATCCTTTTGTCCTGCCCCTTCTAGCTGCATGTCCTCCCTGATCTCTTTCTGATCACTACCACCCATTGGACTGGTCTCTTCACTGCAGGCTCTAATCTGCCCCTACCATCCTGTTGCAGACAGTATGGATGGCATAGCACCTGTCTTCCCTCTCCCCTCCCTCTTCCCCCAAAGCAGGGATCCATCCCCACCCTTGCATGGGCAGGCTCTGTCTCTTTCTCTCCTCCCCCTAACAGGTGTTCTTAGCACAAACACAGCATGGGGCATGCTATTTGCATTAAATATTCAATGGCTGTGTTTTACCCTTGAGTGAGTTGGAGGGCAGTCTGACTTAGACCAGAGGAAAGACTGATGGGAGGAGACCCAGGGAACAGTGTACACTAGCTCCACTGCACTTTGCTCAGTAGCAAGGCCCCTGCAGAAGAAGCAAATACAGAGAGAGGAGGGAGGCTGCAAAGTGAGGATAAAATGATTTTAAAGTGTGAGGCATCTCTCTTCCTGCTGGCAGCAGATAACTTTCAGCCTTTTAAACCTAGGCCAGTCTGCAGCAGCTGCCAGAGAGGAAAGGAGAGCCGATGCCCACCATATGTGTCTCCCCCGCCCTCTGATGAGTCATTGCTATGCAAAAATCTAAGCCTAGGAGTTCCTGGCAGAGATGAGTCGGGGCTGGTGGTACCCTTCTTTCATTCCAGCTGAGTGGGCTGGAGTCCCTGTATGCAAGGTCATGGGGAAGTGGGAATCCCGGGGCTGGGGAGGGAAACTGTGGCCAAAGGCAGCTGCAAGGTAGGGACTTCGCCGCTGGGAGCCCCCGGGCTGCGAGAAAGCCTTGGGGGCGAGTGGGGGCCAGAACCGCAGGGCCAGGTGCTGCTAGGGCATGGGAGGGGCAGCTGTTGCCCAGGTCACCAGGATGCTCCTGCTGCGGGCTGCGGCCGGACACGCCCTTGACTGCTTAGCTCCCCCTTTACGTGCGAGGCAGCTGCAAGGTAGGGACTTCGCCGCTGGGAGCCCCCGGGCTGCGAGAAAGCCTTGGGGGCGAGTGGGGGCCAGAACCGCAGGGCCAGGTGCTGCTAGGGCATGGGAGGGGCAGCTGTTGCCCAGGTCACCAGGATGCTCCTGCTGCGGGCTGCGGCCGGACACGCCCTTGACTGCTTAGCTCCCCCTTTACGTGCGGGGGCTCAGGTGTGCGGCTGGCGCCAGGCCTCTGCCTCCCTTTGTCTAGCAGCTTGTCTCCCGACCTGCCC